AAATCCTAGCTTTTTTCCAAAACACTATACATTACTCAATCACTAGAGAAGCACTATCGTTTAAATTTAGTTTTGTTATTCTTATATTATAAAATAAGACTTTAAGACAGTCACCTCTAGAAGGCAATTTTGAGCCTGTTATTTGATGATTCATATACCCAATAATAARTATTTTTTCACGCGATGACATTTTAAATATTTGAATAACTGAGGTAATAATTTAATATATATGTAGGTACCGACGTACCGTTACTGCATAACAAATCACACTGACACTATGTTTTATTATTTTATTATTTGGTTCGATAACTGCAATGTAAATAAATAGATATAKGACAACGGAATATTCCCAAGTACGATAAAAGATTATTAATAATATTCAATAAGTACATGATGTTGCGTTATAATGATAATCAGATAGATATCGCTATCATTTATATTTTATAATAAATAATAATAATTATAATAATAGTTCTATTAAAACTGAAATACTTATTATTACTCAACTTTCGGCTTTAGTCGCCACATTTTAAATTTGTTCGATTAAGCTTWAACTACGGATTTGTATTTAAAATATATATAAAAACAAAATTAGGTTAAAAATTTAACTTAAGAAAATAAGTGGCACCCTACCATATATTATATATAATGTGTAATAAATTAAAATATATTATATTATAGTCTACAATTAAACAGATTCCACCCAATGGAATGTGACACTATAAAATAGGAAACTAGAAACCAAATAGCTAGAATACTGGGAAGTCGCGTTTAAACTAAATACTGACGCGAATCACTAACTAGTCCCCATATAGTCACAACCAATGTTATTCAATGGAACATAACAGACGGCGCTACTAGTTACTAACCAGTTACTAACGCGCTAGGGAAAATTTCTGAGTGATTCAACWGTCGAGTCACTTTTGAGTTTTCTCACTTCAATATTTTGTTGCTCAACGAAGCTTATTTTTGTTTTACCTATTGCAAAAATTTGTTATTAAGTAAAAGTGAACGAACAAAAAATTAATTTAAAGTTGGTGGAAGAAATAGAAAAACATCCCGTTCTATATAACTTCACGCTTTCGGGATATTCCAGAAAAGATGAAACAAAAAAAGCTTGGAGTGAAGTAGGAAGATCAGTAAACATGTCAGATAAATAATAATATGTAGTAATATAATTATAAATTTAATAAATACATTTAATTAAAAATAAATATACGCGGATTTTTAAATTATATATTATATTATTAGTTATTCCCGAMATTTTGTTAATATTATACTCGTAATCGGTGCACACCGGGCGACCGTCGCGACGGATTGTTATCGCATTATCGCAATGACAAAAATAGAAATGTCTGA